ATATATATATATATATTTACATATTTTTTGAACTATATGGAGGTTAATCTTCTTTTTATATATATAAAGAGAGAAAAGATAATGTAGTTAGTACACATCCTTAAGAAAATTAAAAAGACAGTAATTGAGTAGTACTGCAATTGAAAAATGAAAAGTATATTTCGATGAGAGAAATAATCTTAGAAATAATCTAGTCATAATGCTCTTGATTTAACCTCTTTCAGATACTCATTCATCGCTATATTGTCAGCATGACGAGCGAAGTCTTCTTGAGCTACTCGAGCCATCTCATTTAATTTTTCAGCACGCTAAAACAACAATTTAAAATTTTTATAAGAATCAAAATCCATTTTTTTCAAGTTTTCAAAAGTGGATAGCATAAAACATAATGCTATTCTCCAACAAATGTCAAATTCAAGCAAACTTCTTCTATTTGGCGAACACCCTTACTCCATTTTTTATACTTTTCATCCAATTCCTGTTGTTTTTTGGTTTCACGTTCTTTTTTCCCGCGATCCTCAATTTTTTCACGCCCTTTACCAGTTACTTTGGTTCGTTGAACAGCTACTGCATCTTTACCAGCTGAATATCCAGACCAGGCTTCAAGCAGCTTCAAATAATAACTATTAAATTTCCTTAATTCGGATTAACTGAATGAAAGATTTTAAAAAAGTGAAATTTCTATGGTACCTTGAAACATAAAATATAAAGAAAAGTTACATTTTTTTAACAAATCATAGCACAAAAATTTTAATAACTAAAAAAAAACGATCCTTACTTCTGCTTCATTTTGCTTCGATTGTTTCATTTCTTCACGATATTCTTCAAGAGTTTTGATCCCGCCATATTTCCTATTTGCTATATTAGAATCTTTTCGATCATGATCATTATCCTGTAAGACTCCACGAACGTGACAAACATTTGTCGAGTTCTGATGACCTACAAAATGATGCTTCGTTAAAAGAAACATTCTTGAAAAGAAACAGAAACATAAAAAATAAAGTGGAAACTATGCCAGATTTTGTTACATCGAACAATGTAAGATTTGTTATTCTAGTGTCCATGAAAACACCAAATGCCTTAAGAGAGCGGGAAATTCATCATAATTGTTTTTATTTTCTACATCTAAAGAATAGAAAAAAATTATTTATTGAGACTGAATATGCAAAAAATTTTTACGAGCTTCATTTAAACAAATGATTACTAACCAAATTCAACAAAAACTGGTGCAATATGATGACACTGAGTGGCACGAAATGAGGGTACCGAAATATAAATTTATTAGTTAAAATCGAATTGAACCTTCATGACGATGGTGTTTGTGTGTGGAACGTTCATTTCTATCTCTGTCTTTACGCCTTCGTTTTTTTCTTCGATCATATCTGTCGGATGTTGACTCGTCAGAATTGTAAATTCTGTACGGATATTAAGTCTTATCATTTTTTACATGTTCCTGATGCTTACAATAAAAATTTATTAGCAAAGTTTCTATTTTATTTCTGATTAATATAGTTGCATTAAAATAATGCATGTAAATCATCTTTATAATTCTGCATGAAAACATACTCTGATCTTCTCAGAGGTGATTCATCCGAATCGTAAGGTTCATTTTTAATTCTACGACGTGGTGGAGAAATGTCTGAATCTTCATTGGAATTTAGTTTCGTGCTTTGGGTCAATCTTCTAGGTGGTGACATATCTGAATCAAGCGGTTCTTGCTTTATTTTGCGCTGCTCTGGACAAATATCCATGTTCACAGTGCTTTGAGCCATACATTTCTGAGAAGAGGAATGATTTTTCTTTGCGATTTCATCTTTTTTCAATCCACAACTACTGCTAGCCGAAATAAAATCATCGTCAACATCTGAAACCTACTTATTCCAAAAGTGCATTTTAAAAAGTTTATAACAATATATTAGCTTGAAGACATATGCCGGTTTTATAGAGCTATCAGTAGTCGAAAAAAGTTCCTTTCAGATGCTTAATTTAGAAGAGGAATTTGTGATATGTGACTTACCAAACACAGCTACTGAAAAACACAATGCATTGAAAGTGAACTGAACTCACGAGAAAGTTATAAGTATCGACTTAAATCCTACCATATAATCAAGGTTATGCTACTTCACCTAATATCAATTCATACTTCATAATGCTGCTGCTGCTAGTCATAAATTGCATTCATCACTAATTCATGATAAAACATTTGAAGCACTTCAATTACAAATAAGATCATCCGAAACAAACATCAACAAACCACTTTCAGAAGATGAAGAATCATGTCGCTTAGAGGATAGTTCCACTGAAAAATTTAAAAGTTTTTATGATTAAGGAATAGTTAAAATATGACGCTATCATAGCGTCATATTTTAACTATTCTGCTCTTTGATGTTAAAAAATAAAAAATATCAGTTTTTCCCATCATAAAATACAAATTAAAATGAAAAAACCCAAACAAATACCAATATTGAGTTAGAACACAGCGAAAAGATTTACTTTTGAACTCCACAGGTTCGAATATTGCAGGTTGGAACCTCGGTTTTTCGTTGTCTCGCTTAATTACTTCAATCTCAAAAAATCAAATGCCTCAAAAACGCTAGATTTATATGTACGACCTCAAATTATGCGGTTTTAAAGTGTATTTAACATATTATACACCTCCTTCAATACAATGTCATGCACATCACATCGTTTCACTTTTTCCTAACAGTAACCAGTAACTGTTAGACAATTATATAACATTAATCACAATTGATCAAAATGAGAAACACTAAAAAGTAAAATTATGAACTTTCAGACTATACTTAATTTGCTTTTTCAGAGAAAAAGAAGATTAAAAATTACATTAAATAGAGTGAAAAATAAACTTACATCTTCACTATCGATATCAGAATTCTGCTCTGCACACGGTGCCACAGCAATAAAAGCATCATTTTCATGGATTTTTAATCTGAAAAATACAACAGACACTTGGTAGAATAAGCTATTAAATTAGCACAAAATACCCCCTACTAGTTAGCATAGAACCACAAAAACAGTAACCCAGCAACTCCATGGCAACGAACACATTACCACAAAGGAATCTGTATGTAAATGACAAGTAGTTTTCAAGAATTGGACAAAACTGACCCATTCATTTTGCTCTTTTTTCTGACTTTTTTTTTCGTTTTTGAGTTATCGTCTTTACTCAAATATCTTTTCAAATACTCTTCTCGTGCCTTCTTCGCCTCTTCATCCATCGCAGAGACGTAGATTCAAATCTTTAGTAACCAGACATTAGTTAATAAACGAAATAATATATTACTATGCCCTCTCTTATGCAACAAAAATTTGTAAGAAAAAGTAATGCAAATATGATGAAAAACATGAACACTTTTATTACTTCAACAATATGAAACTATTATTTATACTGTCCCATTAATTACAAACCATAAATTATACAACTCAAATCAAAAACCAGAGCAAATGAAGAAAAACTGAATTATAAAAACTTATTTCTCGAAAAAATATACGGTAAAATAGTAGTCAATGATTAATTGACTAATAAAGTTAAAAATCTTAAAAATTCCATGCTTTGTGATTTCAACCATGTTTTTAAAGACATAATATTTACATATGAAGATTCATTCAATGAAACACCACGCTTCGCTTATTGATATCTTTTTTATGAAATAAAGCACTATAATATCATCTTTGTGTATGAAAACAAAATAAAAAAGGAACTTTTTCAGCTAATATATCCCACTAATAATGAAATTCCTTTACTCACAACGTATATCAAACAAAATTACATACTTAAATGTGGTCAATTCCTTTATTTAGTATTTTCAGCAAAACAACGGAGCAACTGACAATTCTCAAAACTGTCGCTGTGCCACAAATTTCAAACACTTAAAAGCCTACTTAAGAGTCTTCTATAACTTCGAAACAGGTAGCGATAAACATGCAAAAGCACCACTACCTACGAATAAATTACCCTAGGAAATTGGTAACTACGAGATGGAAGATCACATGAGCGAAGATGAAATCAGCAAAAGCGCGTTCCGGTCCAATATGAGGGAATAATGGTTTGTTTTCTGGATTTATTTGAATGCGCAATGATGCTAAAATGTACTGTGTAACTTCAGTGAACTGCTCACAACAACGACAAACTAGCTGTCAAAAACTTAAAAAAGTGCAGTTAATTGAGATTCAAGACTAAAACAGAACTAAAATATAACCTGCTAAAACAAAACAACCAATAGTCGATATAAAGCCGGACAAGAAGGAATTGAATGGAAAGGTTCCAACAAGGACACAATAGACAAATCTGAAAGTATGTTATTTCAATGCTATGGTTATGAGTAATATGTTCAAATGAAAATATATAATGATAATGAATCCCCTCATAATGATAATGAATTTAGCAAAGGAAATTTGGCAGCAAAAGAATGTTCCCAGAAATTCTAATTAAGTGTGATATTACAAGTATCTTCTTAGGGAATTATATGATCGGTAACTTGATAACATGCAATCACTGTTTCTACCGTCAGTAAAATAAGTTATTCAAATATCGAAGTAACAGCATATTTTGTGAAGCACAGTACAATATTTGGGAAAATCTCAAAGAAAATGTACCTTGAGATAATCTAATGAGAAACAGAAACACTACTTCGTTGAACTTAAAGATCTAAAAGTAATGAAGTCATGTGATCAAAACAAAACTACTACATACAATTAACTTACTGAATGACACCCGTGATGAAGACGTAGAACATATATGCATCGATTAATTTTAACTTGGCAGAAGTTGTTTTCCGATAATCTTGGAATAAACTTCTTAAAACTGCGACTAACTTCATTACTTGACTGAAATGAGGATACTCAGTACAATCAATGTGCGATTAACAGCATATTAAAAACTATATTAACCTGATCCTCAAACTACAAAATCCGACACTTCTTGGCTACCTTGTTGGTATTTCCCAGATGGACGTGACGTCTCTTAATTAAATTTGCAACTTACAAAAATAATATGGATCAATAGTCTCGCGAGCCGTTTTTTTAAAAATCTTTTTGCATACATGTCGAATTACTTGACGTGTCTACACGTGGAGAAGCTTATTGTCTGTTTTTCGACACTTAACACATGGTTTCTATGAACATCTAGACTTCACGCATTTGGTAGTTAGCAATTTGTACGTAAGAACAAAGATACTTGATATGAGTTGCATGTGTTTTCATGTCAGTTTTTGAGATAAGTGGGTTCGCTCCATGGCTGTTTCGAAAGTTTCTATAGTGCTGCTAGCGCTGTTGCACGCTAGCTTTCAACAGTCGCACTATCACAGTCATGGCCATGAATTCGAGTCACCACATTATAAGTACAGTCGTGAGGCTAACGAACAGGTAGTTTTCTGTCATTGTATTTGTTGTCTTGTGCAATTTAGTTCTATTGGAAAGCTTTAAAAATCGTTTATTTTGTAAAATAGCAAGTAGATATAGGAACCGAAGGACTTCTCGTTTTCTCTTAGATCCTTAATTTGTATACTTTCTCAAGATTAAGCTTGTTTAATATCATAATATAAAAGTAGTAATTTGCATGATTGATTTAGGAAGTGTTAGCCGAAAGTCGTGGGGATTTTCATCACCATGAACATTCACATGAATATCACAGACATTCGAAAGAACACGTCCATGATGCTTCAGACCACCATCATACTGAAGAAGAGGTTGATCTCACGTCTTAACAATGATCATAAAATTATGCTGCAAATTATTCAAAAAACTTTGATTTGAAGTTTCTTTATGAAAAAAAAAAATGGGTGGTTGAACATGCCTAAAATTCCACTCTATATTTAAATTTTATACACTGACAGTTTCAGCAATATTTATATTCATGAAATAGTTGTTAATTCATTCAAAATTTTATTGTTTCTTTCTTTTTTAAATTTTCAAACATTTTCGAGACAATTCGTCGTTACAATCAGCGTCTTTCTTCAAAAGAAGAAACGTATGCTTCCAAACCGTTTGATCCAAATGGGTGAGTGCATTAAAATTTTATTGCACCATTATTAATATCTTGTGCCTTATTTTACAGGAATTCATATGGAGTTTAGAATTTTATATTCATTATCAAGTGGTATTATGATTCTTATACTCTTCATTCTTTGTCCATCTACTATGAGTCACAATATATAAAATCAAGAAAAATTTATGTTTATCTTAGGATGCTGTCATTTATGAATAATTTTCGTATACGTGTTTGGGTATATAGCATTGGGTCAACGCTTCTTATCAGTTTCGCACCGTTTTTAATTTTGTCATTGATTCCAGTACAGGTGAAAGTTTGTTCTGCTTCTAAATCAGTATTACTTATTCTGTTAGTGTTTTTAAAATTTTATTCTATTTATGTTTCGATATTTTACCAAAGTCTAAATTTACTTTAACATGCACAGAATTTTTCAATAATATTATACCAAATGATAATGTGGAATACTGTTGTTGTCATCAAGCTAATAATTTTAAAACTAAATTTTACAGTCAAATACAGCAGATAGTGAACCTTTGCTTAAAGTATTGCTGAGTTTTGGATCGGGTGGTTTATTGGGGGATGCATTCCTTCATTTGATTCCACATTCTCAACCTTCTCATCAGCATAGCCATGTTCATTCCCATTCACATACTCATAGCCATTCACATGAATCTCATGAAATGGATGTTGGAACATATGTATTAGCTGGTAAAGTACTTGTTTTATCTTACAGTCTTGCATTTTTATCGCCAAGCTTATTTAAAATAGCTTTACATAATAACAGACTTAATATTGTATATGGTCAAGTAAAGGCTAATTGGTTAGATATCTTGGAGTGCTGTGAGCAATTATTTTTTCCAATTCATGATAGTCTGTATTTTCAGGTATAATAGCATTTCTGACAGTTGAAAAACTGGTGCGCATTTTACGTGCCAAACATATAATTAATTCACACGCTCATTCTCATTCACATGGCCAAGACATATTATCAGTCAAGAAAAAGAAAATCGTTGAGAAAAGTGAATATCAAGAAGAAAGTAAAGAGAGATCAAGTGCATCGTCAATGGAAAATGTTAAGTTTATGTCTCCATAATAATATTGCTTGTTTAATTGTCTTCAATTGAAATTACATTCTCAATATACAAACTTCTAAGGTTTGTGGGGACAATTTGAAATAAAAATTTTTTTTGGAAATCTCATCTATAATATATTTCAGAGTACTGATGATTCTGATGAAGAGAAAGTAAATTTAGTTAGAGAGACAGTGGATCATGATACTGGATTTGAAATAGCTGCATATTTGAACATGGCTGCTGATTTTGCTCATAATTTTACTGATGGATTAGCAATTGGTGCATCATTTCTTGCTGGCACAACAGTCGGTGTTGTAACGACAATTACCGTACTTGTTCATGAAGTGCCACACGAAATTGGGGATTTCGCCATCCTTGTACAGTCTGGTTTTACGAAAAGCAAAGTTAGTTGTCGGTTTTCTTACATTCAGGATGAGCTATTTCTACTGATCTTAATTCGAGCATGTAATTGAAATTTTAATCAAGACAATAACACTAGAATATAATCATTAGCATTTTTACGTTCTGAGTTATCAGATTTTTTTTTACTTGTAGGCAATGTTTGTTCAGCTTTTAACTGCTTTGGGTGCTCTTACTGGTTGTGCGTTATCACTGTCAACTTCTGGTGCTAGCAATACAGCTTCTTCAAATTGGGTAAGACACTTATATTTTTCATATCTAGTGCGTTTTAGAAATAAAAATCATACATAATATTGCATGAAAAATTGCTTCGGAATACTTGATAATGCCTTCAAGAATTTCAGGCTGAGATCGTCTCATATTTTTTTCAGAATATTCATTTTTGAACTGTAAATGACCCATAGTTTTAAAAAAAAATTGGGATGAAAAAAAATGATTTTAATTTTTGTATCATTCGTCAGCAGTGTTTGACATTGATAGCGCATACTTGCTGTTCTTGTAATCTTTTTCTTATTTTTCAGATTCTTCCTTTTACAGCAGGAGGATTTATTTACATTGCTACTGTATCAGTTATTCCTGAGCTGCTTCAAAATAGTTCGACATGGCAAAGTATTAAGGAAGTTCTGGCCTTATTAACTGGTATAATGTTGATGTATGTGATTGCAGCATACGAATGAGCTGATTTATGTTGGGAACAATAATAACTTCATCTTTTGTTATAATTCAAGTTTTGTCGTTTACATATCCTGATCGAGGACGAAGCGCAATACTCTTTATCTGTTAAATAAATCTTATACTTTAGGTTTTCATTTTTTATTTTGTCAAAGTTTTTTCAGTCAGTTAGTATCCTTCAAGAGCGAAGCGCACTGTATAAGATGCATTCCTGTATACATTTTTGATAGTTTGTCTATTTCAACCAAATTTCAAAATTCATCATGCATTTCAACATAGTTTAACTGATTCAGAAATTTTGTAAAAAGAGAGACTAGATTCTTCATTTTCTTCCTTTACATTGACAAGTTTTATGTTCTGTTATATATATGTGGTAATGGTTATTAGGCTGCTACTCATCTGTAATCGTGTTAACACAAAAGAGTTAGATTTTCGTGTGAAATTTTTTGTATATCTGTCTTGTATCTGAAATATCAGTAATCTCTGGGTCAGTAATTTGGATAAATGCATATAAAGTTTGAAAGTTCTTATTTGTATGTACACTATACAGAATTATTTATTGTATTTTTCCATACCATGCCGTATTTTAATTCTTATTACAATTTTTGAAGCAATATAAGGCCGAAAATTTGGTTTTTGATTAGTGTTTGATATCCAGGACAACACTTAATTACTCTCTTTGGAATCCTGAAAAATTGCAAGTGCTATCCGGAACATTGTTACAAGGTGTAAATCGTGATGGATGTTTTTCTGAATCGAAGCGAAAGTAGACAAAAGCCTTCTACGACGGAAATGGAGGTTCCGTGGGTTGAGAAATAGTACGTTGCAAATATAATTTTGCCATTTAGTTGCATCGGGTGGGATAAAGTAATGTATTCAATTCTGGTGTTCAGTTTTTTTCATTGATACTAGTGCATCTAACGATTTACTTGCTTTAATTACATGGTATTTACTTTCATGTCATATAAATTATTTCAGTCGTCCTCGTAAAGTCGATGAAGTTGTTTTTCAAAATGAAGTCGTTTCTGTCCTTAAAAAAGTGATCGAGGGTGCTGATGTAAGTTTTTCTGTCTTTCTTCAAATTTGTCATATCTCGCTATACCCAAGGGTTTTTTTCTACTTGATATTTCTTTAAGAATTGATTTCAGTTGCTCATTACGACCAGGATTGTATTACTAATAGAAAATAATAACCTTTCTTCTCCTATAATAATAGGGTCACGATCGATCATATATTATTAACGATTAGGAAAATAATTGTTATGAGGTATATTTTGCTATCTTTTGTTTCAGTTACCGAATTTATTATTTTATGGCCCTCCTGGAACAGGTAAAACGTCAGCAGCAATCGCATTATGTCGGCAATTATTTCGCAATAAAGAAACGTATCAGGACAGAGTACTGGAAATGAATGCTTCTGATGAGCGAGGTATTAACATTGTTCGTCACAAGGTTCGTATTTAGCTTGAGTTTGTGTGCAGCTTGAATTTCATTCTGGTGTTTTTCTATTTCATATTTCTTTAAAGATTTTGATTTCGCGTATTACAAATTATGAAGCCAGCCGGAAAAGGTAGTCCAGTATATTTTCCAGCAGTTAATGTAGTTTCTAAAGAGAGTTAAGTGCATATGTTTGTCTTTAAACCTGGAATGTATCGAAGCAAGGAAGCATTTTCGTCAGTTTGTTAGTTTGATAATTTCCTCTTTTAGATAAAAGAATTTTCTCAACGTGCTGTCTCATCTCGTTTACCTGATGGAAGCCCTGTTATTGGTTTAAAGGTTTTTATGAAATCTAGTATAATATATTCAAATATTTGTATATCTGTGACGGTTATCATGATTTTTTCTGCCTTTATGAAGTTTGCATTTGAAAAAACAGGTTTGAACTACATTATATATTTATCATCAGCAAAGCTGATTTCGAAATATATAAATGCAGTTCAAATCTACTTCAATGATATAATTTTATAAATTTTTGTATCGAGCTGTTCCTAAAGAAAATAGAAGAACTCTCGTTTTGTATCATATTTTTTTTACCTTAAACTCCCTGATTTTCCCATCGGATCGAATTTTCACTTTTTTTTTCCGATAATTATTCTCGATGAAGCAGATGCGATGACAGCACCTGCTCAAGCAGCTTTGCGACGAACAATGGAAAAGGAGTCTCGTACTACTCGTTTCTTCCTTATTTGTAATTATATTACAAGAATAATAGATCCACTAACTTCACGATGTGCTAAATTCCGTTTCAAATCGTTGTCCTCAGAAAGTCAAAAAACAAGGTGAGAAGGGTTTTCAGTTGCATTGCCAAAGCATTTTTCATATCTGTTCAGCTGTAAATAATGTTTTTAATTCATATTTATTATTGGTCTGTGATCAGAAGCCTAAAGATGTGTCAGTTATTATAGTTCAAGAATTTATAATTGATTATTTGGCAAGTGAACGTATATCTGCTTCATTGCATTTAATCATTTTGGTGGACTAAGTTTTTCGAGAGCAGTAATACCATTAATTCAACAGACGTTAATTTTGTCTTTTTTTATCTATGTATGTTTAACTTTGAGATTTTAAGGTATATTACTCGAAAATTCACAAAGCCTATGTGAAAATTACAGGCTTGAGTGGATTTGCGAACAAGAAAATGTCGAATTCGATTCATCTGCAATAAATCTGTTGATTGATTTGTGTGGTGGTGATATGAGGAAAAGTGTAACAGCACTGCAGGTTTTTTTAAAATATAATATCTATTTTACATCACATAATGGTATTCAAAATAGATGCTGTTGTTTGTTTATTTCACGATAAATTTCGGCGAAAAAAACATATACCTGTTTTATTGTACTGTTCAAAATGAAGGAAACAAAAGCAAGGAAACAAAAGCAGATTGCTGTTTCAAGCTATTATTTGCAGTAAAATATGTGAGTCTTCATTATTAGTTTATCTTATTGTAGACAGTATCATCATGTCGAAAAAAATTGGTCTCCGAAGACATGCAAAATTTTCTTGGTGCGGTGCCAGATGATGTTGTAAAGCAGTTTTTTGATGCTTGCAAGTCGCTTTCTTATGACAAACTATATTCATGTGTGGAAGCTATTAAGCGAGAAGGATATGGTGTATATTATCTGATAACACAATGTTTCTACATTTGTTTGCGACACGAAGACCTCACTGATTTGAATAAAGCTACCATATCTGAGAAAATTGGAGTGAGTTTCCTTCCACATTTCGCATTCGTCAATTTTTACATGCAGATTTCAATATTATTAGAAATTGGAAATTTTATTTGCGACTGTCTAGCCGGGTGATTATTCTTTTTTCTTTTAACTGTTGTTATCATAGTAAATATCTTCAAGAAACTTTGCTCATTTCAGTGATCTTGAGAAAATACCTGATATTATTATTCCTTATTTGTAAAAAATTTTTGGGTAGCATTTTTTTAAAGATTGAGTTCCCTTTTTATCAAACTTTTAAAAATGTTAGATAAGCTATCTGTGATTGTCTTCATTAGACCACTGGTTATTTCTATATTAATGGTCAGGAATATGAATTGCGTATTTTGGATGGTGCAAACGAGTTCCTCCAACTTTTGGATTTTGGTATGGTCATAATGGAGCAATTTAAGTTGGTATTTTGAAGTGATTTTGTGTTTTTTGAGAAACGATCTCATTAACTCCGTGTTTAGATCACAAATGCAGGTAACAAGAATTGCAATCTCCTGTTTAAACTCCCTTTGTTTATCGACGTTTGTTCAACTTGTATTATTTTGCAAATTTTAATGTTTTATGAGGAATATTGATACAGAATTGGTTGAAAATAAATTACCTATTTCAGTGGTGCGCGAAATTTTTTTCCACATTAAAGTCGCATTTAATCTCGTGTATAATCAGTCTTAAATAGCCATCAAATTGTACTTGTAATGTTATAAAACTTCCAAAATAAATTTTTAAGCACTGTTTATCATAACATCACAAGTATTTATTTACACATCAGTTTTACGTAAGTTGTAAATTAGTTCTTCAGGAGAAAACGAAAATTAAGTTTAAGCCTACTCAAAGTGTCATTACTGCGAATAAAGCGTTCTTGAAAATGATAGTTAGAAATAATGCCAGTTCCTACCACTGTTTTTTAATTTATAATGTAGTAGTATCTGTTCTTTAAAATTTGAATTCAAGTTGATGGAAAATGAGCTGAATACGTTTAGTGAAGGGATTTTACAGAAATTTCACGAAGTAATTCTTCCATAAATTTTGCAACTCTCATATAGAAGTTGGTAAAATTGAACGTTGTTCGGGTGCAACCATGGCATCTTCCACGCTGTAATACTTGGACTGTATTTAAGACTAGCAGATTGCAGAAAAATTTTTAAAGCTGTTTAATTAATCTGAATAAAGTGAGAATTATGAAAATAGCGGTAAATACAGCAAATTTTAGTTTTAAGTTGATAAGTTTGGTAATAGCCTTTGAAAGAAAGATGCAATGCAATCCCTTCTGGTTAAAAATTATGTAAGGAAATACAAAAGTAATTTTAATAGGGTAGCCTATGATTTGAAATTTTAGACAGATTGAAGTCACGCATCGTTTGTTTGTATTTTGGAATAGCACTGGAAATACCTGGTAAGGACAGATGTCGGGAAAATCATGCCATCATTGCTATCTCCACTAGGACTTTTGGGGCTGCTACAAGGGTCAGTTGACGACTGTCCACTATTACTGTTATTTTGATTGGTACGATTTTTTTTGCTACCTTGGTACTTCTTCTGACGTGCACGTGAATTCTAAAATCCAGTTTTGAAAATGAATTGTAAGTGTAACATTAAGATATTAAGCTCATTCATCATAACGATTAAATGTGATGTCAAACAAAGGTACGTACTTGAAACCAAACTTGTGTGACTCGTTTGCTTAATCCAGTCATCGTAGCAATCCTCTCAAGATCAGCTCCATCTGGATTGCTGTCAATTTGAAAATGTGTTTGCAAGACAGCTAACTGTTCTTCTGCGAAAGTTGTTCTGACACGTTTGGTTTTGGCTTTCTGTTGACCTAAAATTAGGAGTATTTAATTTACATCAGTTTTTTTTTCGAAATTTTTTGATTTATTTATTGGTATTTCAGAGCAGCTAATGTCAACCTGATGAAAATGTTAGAGCACATACCACATTCTCCTTCTACCAATTCCATGTAGTGCTGCTTGCAAAGAAGTCTACAATCTTGCAGTGCGAACTCTTCACCTGTACTTAGCTGTCGTTTGCATTGATCGCACGCAAAACATGCGAGATGATAAACAAAGTTCCGAGCACGTCTGACCCAGTCCGTTGCATGAATTAAGCGTTGACAAGAAGAACATTTTTTTCCAAATCGTCTGAAGCTAAGTATAAAGCAAACAGTTATGAATTTTTGGTTGTTTGATTTACATCATCGGATAAAAGAAAAGCTGTTAACAAGTTAAATTTTATAGTGAGTACGGTAACCCAAAAAACTAAAAAATTGGTTTTGAGAAAATCTTTTACAGTTAAGGTTTAACTGAAAATTTTTGGCACCGCAAGACAAGTGAAATCTCGAGAAATTCATGCCATCATTGCTATCTTCACTAGGACTTTTGGGGCCGCTATAAGGGTTAGTTGACGACTGTCCACTATTATTGTTATTTTGGTTGATACGATTTTTACTACTGATAATAATTACCTATTCTCAAATGATTTACTTGAAAAATAAACTTCATTTATTACTCAAAAAATGATCGTATTGTGAAGTACACATTTACTGCTGCAAAATATTACTTCGTTGCGTGGACTTATTACTGAAGTAAATAATAAGTGTTTCAATCGTTGACGAGGATATCATGCTGGAAGTTACAAATTGTTCATTTCTCTAAAAGGGAATATAAAGACAACAGAAAATACTACTGAAGGAAGTAAGAAAATCATTCAGATGCCCCAAAAGTTCTTCACATCTTAACATTTCATTATCACTAAAAAGGAATAGAATATGCCAATTTGTGCTCTATTTAAAATGGTAGTAAGTGAATTTGTGCAATAATTACTTTGACAATAAACTGTAATAAAGTAATTTCAATAGTACGATGAGACTCACTGGTACTCAAATATTCTGATTGGATAAATAAAGGATTAATAATTTAAGAAATAATCACACAATTTAGAATTTTACCGCTATCGTATTTTAGCATGCATTTCCAATAACTACAAAGTATTTGTGGAAAATATCAAGAGATGTTCTCTTGCAAAGAAGTTTGGTATTATTATTTTTGCATGTGAGTTCAGCCATTTTAAATTTGTTCAAATCTCAACAACAGTTAAAAGAATTCTGACTAAATGCTTACATTTTCAAATGCAATAAATATGAAAATTTAATTATTTTAATTTGTAAATTCAATCATTTTCAGCAACGATTATTCTGCAAGGGAAATGGGATAATGAACAATTAACAACAAGCTTATTACATCACTGTAGGCGGAAAATATTAAATTATATTTCTATTCTGAAGAATAAATGCGCAGATGTCCGATAACTAATCCTGATTTGTAACCTTTCTGCTACTACTACTACTAATACTGCTACTATTATACGATTAGCGCCAAGTATATACTTTGGGTAACCAACCGGAAACTAATCTTTATCTTATCAGGTCTGTTATTGCAGTTGGTAGCATATGTTACTGTTACTTATTTTGAGCAAACAATAGCAACCAAATCAATGTCTTCTAAATGAAATAAAATAGTGTAAAAATTGTTTAAAATGCAAATTTGTGATAAATTTTTATAAAATTTTTTTGGCAATAAAAGTTGCAAATTGTTAATATTTGCTATGAGCGAAGCATTTTTTTCAGCGAAGTATTACTAATCACTGAAAGTCAGTTTTTGACTAACTTAGTCTTAGATCCAAAATGCAATAATTCAAATAGTAGAGATCTAAGTCAACAGCGAAGACTATCATTTAAGTTTTGCACGCACTTTGGAACTTTTGAACAAAGCAGTTTTTTAGCATAACTCAGTAGAAGGATGAATTTAAAGTCAAACCTTTAACATCTACATTGTAAAGCAAGAAATTCTTCTCAAAACACCTTGGAAAAATGGCCATTTTATAGCTATCTCGCGAATGCACAAAAAGTGATTATAAAAGTGATAAACAATATCAGCAACATTGAATGAAAAGAAAGCAGAAACTGCAGTAGATGGATTCCCTGAGATCCGGTTTTGTAAACTTGAGACTTCAAATATTTGCAGACTTCTACAATGGAATAGGAAAGTTTATTGCTAAATAATTTTTGGCATTATAAAATCAAAGAAATAAAATAATTAAACTAGAACTTACCTATTATAACACTGCTTGCAAAAGAAGCTGTCATTCTTAACAAAACATGTGGAATGTTGTTCCAAGAACAAGGAGCATTGTGAGCATCTTAGACATGTAGCATGCCAGAATCTTGAATTCACACTAAGTAACGTTCGATCCATAATGAATTCGGAACACGACGAACATATTTCCGTATCAAACTGAAATTAAAAACCTTGGAAGGCTGTACTCGTTGAATGTCAGAAAATTGAATCAGTTAAAAAATAAAGAGTGTAATCTCCAATTTTTAATTGATCTACAATACTTCATTAGAAATATGACAAGAATTACAGAATTGTAATAGTCGCTAGTAAAACTATATACAAGCTTTAAGTGCTTTTTCAGTAATTGCCAAATTTAACTTATTTGGTACGGTAACTAAAAGGTTACGTGAAGCAAATCTGCTGAATAGATCTCAAATAAATGTTATATTTTACCATAGCATATATTAAGATTACACATTAGAATCATTAGACGTGCTTCACGTTATCTGTTACTTATTGCATTGCAGTACGAATACTTTAATTATGCTTAAAACTTCCAACCTTTGATAAATCGATATGTTTTATTATATAAGCAAACTTATATGACTCTTAAGGAATAAAATATTAATCAAAAATTGTTGACGATTTAGAGATATTCTAAAAGTCGCAAGTTTTTCAGGATAGAAAGCATTTAGGTGGTTAGCTATAAGAATGGATTTTAGGACTGTATATAAAGTAAAATATTGCCCAAAGCAAAAGTTTTTAATGATCAAGTTAGGACTCACAACGATAGAGCAAAGGCCCGTAATGACTGAGTGAAAGCTCGAGTAAAGGCCCGTAATGAGGAAAGAAGAAACGAGTGACAAGTATGAATAGAGATTGTAATGCATTTGATTGCAAGAAAGTATTTAAGGGCTTTACTTAAAGGAGAAGAAGAAAGATGGAAATTGAGGCACCTTTGAGATGGAATGTGAAAAGTTTGCCTCATTTCTGATTGTCACTCCGGAATGGTCACTATTGCTGCTGCTGCCACTGGCGTTGATGTGTGCAGCTGAACTGGCGCCACTGTCGGTACTGCTTCTGTTACCATTAGCAGAAATCACGCAGTGAGTGTGTTGCATTACTCGATCTGCCGTTGCTGGAAGCGTTAACGAGCCCATCACTGCACAGTTATTTGTCTCGCTTTTTCGTGAAATAGTAGAGCGTACTTGACAGTTATTGTTTTCTTCATTTTCAGTCACATCTCCAGCCGTATTAGCTGCTGCTGTTGCTGTTTGTGGTACTATTAGTGCTCCAGCATGAGTGCTAAAGAAACCAGATGAAGGACTATTGGAGTACCCAGAAAACTCTCCAGGAACGCTGCTACGACTTGCTGCCAAGAACGTGGCGCTTCCAGCAAGGAATGTAGAGGTAGAAGCACCTCCGTACTGATTCCTGTGTGTGATTCCGAGGCTGTCATTGCTCTTGCAAAGTGCCGGTAGATCTCTGCTAACATTACCGTAATTAACTGTTGTGTCGTGAATTGAGTGATGAATTTCCATTGTTAGGGAAGACAATGTTTTTTTGGTAACACTTAGCAAATGCAAAGCAAAGGTTGAGTTGTGCTTGCTTGGCTAAGTTTCGGAAGACAATATGACTTTAGTGAAGAGTAGGCTTCACAAGTAAGTCTTAGCGGTGAATGATTGGTTTACAGAGGAAAGGGCTAGTTAGGTAGTTAGTTAGTTAGCTAGTAAGCTAGTTACTTTTGTTAGTCAGTTACTTAGCTAGCGATTGTTTATCGTTGGCCGAAGGATGAGAGCCCAGGCTTGGTCAAGTAAGTAAGCGACTCCTGTCCTAGCAGTAACATGAAGTGAGCGTTAACGAAGCTCAGTTCCAACTTCAAACATCCTTGCAATATCCGTCCCATTTCTCTTTCCAAACTTTCCCTAATGTCTCAGCCAGATGCAACTATCCTACTGCTCAGTTTAAGCATCAGTCTATCCTTAAGCCATCAGCCATTCAACAACTACCGTAATCTTTCTATGTCATCTTTCACCTTTTATTTCAGGTCACGCCTTCTACTCCCCCTTTTTCCCGTCTTTTTACATTATGCTTTTTACTTATTACTCAAAAATAACTCTTTCAACTTTTAACCTTTCACTTAATTATTTTTTTTACTCTAAAAAGTCTGTTTATTGACAAATCTGAAGAAATTACGGTCATAAAGTTTTACATTGCATTTTATCATAGCAAATTTAATATTTGTTAACTTTTGATCTCATTTATTATCTCACGGCGGAAACTTATCACTAGTCTTGTGTGAAAGTATCCAAAAAAGAGTTGTTTGCCACCCTATTTTGGTTTCACTTTTAACTTTTGAGACAGCTTATCACTCGCACTTTGATTACAAAGTAATTTGCTTGACTGACTGTTCCAGCATCCAATTTGCTACCAAATTGAATGCTAGGACAGTCAACGAGAAGTCTTTAATCAAGAAACAACACTTATTTCTTGACTATTGCAGTTCAAGTTTCGGTTTACAGTGAAGTGCTCGTTGAAATATGCGTAAATTACCTGCTAAAATGTGAATGTTTTAATGAATATCGGTTATATAGCATAGAAAATTGAAGTAGACTGCATCAAAGTTAGAAATTTAGGAATCAAATTTAGAAATTTAGGAAGTTTCTGAGTAATAATTTCTTGAATATTGTTAAGTATTGCAAAATTACTTTGAATTTGTGCAGTACATAAATAGATAATGTAGTATTTATCAAAAACTAAACATATGTAATTGTTGCGTGTGTGTTCAAGACAATTTTATGGATTAGAAAGGACCAATTTGAAGTGATGAAGAACTTTTGCTACCAAAATAGTTCAATATAAATGTAAACAAGTCTTAATTCTGTTTCTATTCTGTCAAAAATCTTCAAGAACACTAATCTCATTACTTAAAGTGACAATTACAACTGCTCATAATAAATATTCTTTACGTAACAAATTAATTGCTTAATTAATTTTGTCTTATTTTGATAATTGCACCAGCAAAAATCTTCGTTTTTTTTGGGATTGCTACAAATCAACTGTTTTTGTAACAAATTTTCTGCTTCTTACAGCAGTAATTATGCTCAACACACATTATTCCAGTAGCGTTATGCAAGTAAAATTTTTTTGACAGCTTGAGACCAATGCATATATTACTTTTATACTTCGCTGTCTTATATTTTTAGAATAAATATTATTAGAATTTTTTGTACTGTTTTTTTGCTTAATGATAGTATCACGAAAAGCAAATGTATTGTTACTCATTATTTGCATTTGAGAGCAGTTAATAATTGCATTATGCTGATAGCAATAATTTTTCATCTTGATGAATCTAGAATAAAACACTGTAAGAAATTAAAATTGTGCAAAAAATTGAAGGATGAGATAATTTATCAGGCCAAAAGCATAAAATAAAATAGCTGAAAATATGCAAAAGTGAAATTTGCATATCAGTACGTCACAAATACTATTATATGTCAAGTTTTACGCAAATTTCTTTTCACGTATCTAATTAAACACTTATATTAAATCAATTTTTAGATGAATTCTATGTTTCTAATCGAGCATAAGTTGAAAAAGTTCAATCAATGAAGGGAAAATGCGTATTTTTAATTGCATTCTATGGCTTTATGAGTTTATATACAAACTTAATTTTGCTGTAAATTTACCTTTAAAGTTGTCCGCAAAATTTTATGAATTTGCATTGAATTAGTCTAAAAAATTAGAGTATATTTTTTGCACTGTACTTAAGTATATAAATTTGTGGGGAAGCATTTTTTGACGTGTAATTCATGAATTGTATCAATGGAGTGAGTAAATATTCATAAAATGTTGATACTTGAACAGATTATACAAATCAGTTCTAATACGCTACTGCCAAGCATTAATATGAATAAGCCAAAATCGGTTAGAAATTATGCTAAATGAATTTAAATGATTAGTGAGATCGATCTGAATTGAATTACCAATATGCAAAAATGGTAATGATTATGGCAAGAAATGATTTGCTTGGCATCCTTGAAAATGTTCACTTTCCAGCGAGTCTTGACAATTAGATTATCGACGCTTTAACAAGCCAAAAGCTTCTTCCCTTCTTGACCACTTTTCTAAAATACTTCAGACTTTCGACTCTTCTGCTAGCAGCCTCTTTTCGATTAAATAATTCTTGAAATCAAGAATTCAAGCAATTCCTATTTCTTTTATTAAAATGGATTAATTTCAGTTCTAATTGCAAACATTACGAGAATTTAACAACGAAATGACAGAGCAAGTGGACACAGGTGGAAGTAATAATTATTATAAAAATTGTGATTTAAGAACTTACAGCATTTCAAGTAAAAATATGAAACTTCCATGAAAAAAGGTCGAGGAAATTTGATTTTAGGTTTCTAGCAGGATTTTACCAATGCCATTTCACGCACTGCGTTAACATTAACAATTTTGAAGACAATACAAGACCACGTACTTGAGATATGAAAAATCGTTCTTCTAAGAAGTACTTGTGTTTGAACTGTTTCATTCGGCTTCGAAGTATCAAGGCCTCAAGAGATTAGGTGTAGACTCAAAAGCAAAACATGCAAATAGATGTGGCCACCGTATGCTAAATCAAGAAGCGATGAAACAAAAGGATGAAATTTGATCATTCAGTGCATTGTGACTTTAATTGTGTGCATGTTGTAGCTCTCTAATTTTAGGCAATATCTGTGAGCAGTGACCATATGACTCGATTATCGAACAATTCCACTGCATATGCTGAGTAAAGTATGGTTGAAACCGCGGTAAGGCAGGGTATGGCTTGAAGAAAAGATTACTGCTGATGGCGTCAATCGAATAAAAGATCAAAAGATCAAACTGTTTAATCAGTGGTATAACATTATCTTAAAACAACAATTTTCCATCACTGATTTTCGGCCGATAATTTTATTCAGTGATATTTGCCATTTGAAAGCATTTACAATGAGTGTGTAATGATTCAGTTTAGAATCTATGATTTTATAGCGTGAATCATAGCTGAAAATTTGCTTTGCTTTGTTGTATTGCTTTGTAGTTGTTTTGTAGTTTGTCAGAAGTGTTTCAGCAGTACTTCGTGATCACTGATTCTTACTTTGAAAATATAAGCGTGAAACATTCTAGCAATGTACAAATTGAAAGTGAGAACGCAGAAATTAAAATAAAAACTGCAATGAGATAATTCTGGAAATGAGTCGAAAATTTTTGTGCTACAGAAAATGAATTGAGAAAGAAAAGAGGCAAGATCAAAAATATGCAAATGAAGGGATCTGTGTTATTTGGACAAAACGATGAAGTGGCCTGTGACCTCTTATCCGCTTCCTCACTCAGCGGTTTCGGGTTGTTATTCTTGAACATATGCAATCACCTTGCTAAATGACGAAAATTGTTGCTCTAATGCTTGTTTTAGATGAACATGCATATAACATGTGGTATTCGGGGTAATATATGAAGTTAATTCTTTTATGATTTCTGTAGAAATTGCCAGAATTCTGCGGACTGAACACTTTTACAGAAATAAAATCAGTGTTCAAAAACTGAATTCGAATTTCCAAGTAAAAAAGAATTTCATCTAAGCTACGATGTTGCTATGCCACAAGAATTTAGTTTGCTCGTAGACATCGACATGTCGGTGTTAAACAGTCACCAAAAGCATTTATTTGTTTAATAATTCTGAAAAGTAAACGCACTTTGAAAGCAAACATATTTACGGACAAAAATAAGCATATCAATGCTATATATAAATTTATTTCTGAACGTACTAGTATTCTGGCCAATAAATTTGGATAATCTGTATATCCAACACGGCAAAATAACTTATCACTTTTGAGATTACTTGGGTTTTCAAGCCGCGAATTTTACAGATGTATTTTATCTTTGTTTCATGTTCAGGTCATAAAAAATTTCAAAAATGAACGAACATAAGCTAGACAAAAAATTAAGTAACGTGTTGAAATTCAGTAAAATAGCACCTAACATTAGATTTGAAAAGTTCTTTTTGGGTAAAGTTCACTCAATGTTATATTTTATCCAAAATTTGAAAAATGGGGCATTTTGAATAAATTTTAAAACAAACTTTAAAATTAGAAAGCGTTCTTTTAATTTCGATGGAGTGTTCACGTTTATTTGATAAAGCTTGAAAATTTAAGGGCTGCCATACTCAAATTTTTGCTTTCAAAAGATTTCTTTACTTTTTTATAATTTTCTTAGATGAGAAAATGACAGGAACGGCATTGATCGAAGGGGAGGACGATGGAATTGGTCATTGTTGCGCGAAGTAATGACTGACCACACCGTGGAAAACAGTCTCCAAATTGGAGAGAAGCAGAGAGTGAGAGGAATCTACCTTAAGAGTATTAATAAGATTTGAGAAGAACGGACAGTGCATAGACGGACTGACGATCACCTGTGGAGAGCACTGTGGTATTCTTATTAATTCACTACCTATCCATCGTTTTACGCCGAGTCAAAGTTCATTGCTTTCACTGCATGAAAATCGTAAATTAATTTA